TCTACTAATGCCATTACATCTATTCAATTAGCATCTTGTTTTATTTGTATAGCTATAAAATTATTGTTTTCTATTGGTGTTCCAAGTTTTATTGATTCTAAATTAGAACTTTTTGGTGTCTTAGTTCTAGATAATAATCTCTCTTGTCTAGACATTTCTCTACTTGTACTTAGTCTTGATTCAAAACTAAAATTTCTTCTTATATTAGGTTGATTTATATTAATATTTAATATGGGTGTACTTATTCTTAATGTTCTTTGTCCTATGTTGTCATTGTTTATCATTCTTCTCGAATTATTTTCATTTTCATAATATCCTATTGTATTATCTAATTCTAATCTTAATTGTTCAGGTATTGTTATTCTGGTTAGGTCTAATTCTATTTCTTGTAATACAGGCATAAAATTTTTGTCAATTGTTAATTTACCTTTTTTTTTATAAATTTTATGTTCATTTGTAAATACTAATCCTATCATAGCAGTTATACTTATTGTTCTTGATCCTGGTAATAATTTTATTTGTCCTAATTTATGATATATTAACAAGGTTTGTTCATATTTTCATCAGCTCTTGAAATACAATAATTAGTATTTACTGTAAATTTTAGTTTTTGATATATTAAATTTCCAGTTAATATTCCTAAAATACTATCTTCAACACTACTAATTATTCTTCCATCAATTATTAATAATTCTATTGGTGAATTTCTTCCTTTTTGAAAATAAGCTTTTACTAATAATTGTACTCCAGCAATATATATTTCTGTCACTTCATCTTTAAATGATAATTTATTAATTTCAATATCTATTAAGACTTTGCTTTCTAATGGTATTCTCAATACTCCTTTTGTTAATGTTGATTCTATAGAGTGTTTCTTTTCTAATACTACACATGTCTATTTTTCTTGTTTTTAAGACTTCACAAGTTTTCCAACTATATTCATAAAACTTTCATTTTTTAATTCTTCAAGTTTTAAATTTAATTTTGAATCTCTTATTTTTTTCATATTATTTTTGATTAAAAGTCATTCTTTTTTGAACTATTCCTCCTTCTACACTTACAATTTTTTTATATTCATCATATTCATTTTGATTACTACTCTTAGGTTCATCCTCTAATCTATTCATCATATACATATAACTTATTTCTTCTTCTTCAGATTCACTATTTTTAGATTCACTTTCATTGACTATTTTTAATTTATAAATTTCTATTTCTGAATTATTTAATTTATTTTTTATTTCAGATAATTCTTCATCATATCCTATTGGTTCTAAATTTTTTTATATGCTTCTTCCATTATTTTCATAATTTTCTTATCTTTTTTTACTTGGATGATTAGGTGATAGTGTCCTAATTCTTCACAATTATAACATTTACATTTTTTAGGTTTTTTATTATAATTTGTATTTTTTTTAAAGAATTTTCTTGGTCTATATTTACTATATTTTTTATAATATTTTTCTTTAGGATATCTTTTGAATTTTATTTTTAATTTTCTTTTCTTCTTTTTTCTTTCATATTTTTTCTGGTTTACATCCCCATTTATGTTCTTTCATTATTTCTCTACATCTTAATATTGTTTTGTTTGTTTTATAATATTTTATATTTCTTCAAGCAGTTCTACATTTATCAGTTATATATATATATATATATTTTAAACAAATAAACCAACAAAAGTTGGGTCTCATAAAGGAGATTAGTCCCTCACAATCAGGATAATCAAAGTTCAAATCCTTACCATGAGAGATGTACACATTTTAATGTTTGACTGTGCTTTAAGCATAATTGTTTCCAACAACAAAGTATCTATAAGTAATAAAAAAAAGTAATATATATATATATATATATAACTTTTATTTAGTTTTGCTAAAGTTAAAGAGACTATATTGATGGAGCAGATTTAACAAAATGAACTAGTTCCTTATAATATGACGAATCAAGATTCGGATTTTTGCTTAAAAATGAGCTTACATTTATGCTATGATTGGTAAGAAAGAAAAGTGAGGAAAACAAAAAAGTAGGGGGAAGTAGTATTTTCCCTTGGCTATGAAGAGAAAAGTGAAAAGAAAATAAGATATAAGACCCATATATTCTTACCTCAAACAATTCTCTCCTAATATGAAAATTTTGAAAAGAACATTTTATTTTCAAATTTACCTACCAATCTCTAAATTTTAAATTTAAAGTTTCGTTACCTTTTGATCATGGACTTTTATTAAATAAATGGTATATTCAATTTTTAGATTAATTAGACAAGTGTTAATTTTAAATTTTTGGTTTCAAAATTTCAAGATTATCACACACACACAATAATCTAATAAATAAAATTATAAATTGGATAAAAAATATAATTATGTTTTTATTCAATCAATAATGCATGATAGAAATTATTATTATATATATAATATGTTAGAATATTAAATTTTATTATATATAAATATTTTTTAAAATAATAAAATTATTATTGATCATATAAAATTAGTAACTTTTTTCCTCTTGTTCAACTAAGTATAATGGAAAAAAATTGCACCCATCTACTTTTATATTCTCTTCATTTTCTCTCATTTCATTTTCCCTTAGAAGTCAAGCACACTATTAGTGCTTAGCCGTGCCTTGAATAAGACTACTTAAAAAAAAAAAATTAAAGAGACTAGTCTCTTTTTTTAAAACTTACATTTTAATGTAATATTTAACATATGTTAAAGATTCTAAATTATTTAATTGATTTAATCGACATTATGTTAAAAATTAAAAAATTATTAATTTGTCAACATAATTTGATTGACTATGCTCTTCAATTTAAATAATTTTAAATATATATGATAATATTTAAATAAAAATTTAAAATTTATTATATTAAAATTAAAGTATAATTTCTTACCATCAAAATTAAAGTATAATAGGTTTGAAGAAGACGTGCAAATTCTTTTTTCAACTTTATATGAGATTTTAATTTAATTTTACAAAGTGACTTTTTAGACATGGTCATACACAATTGAGTGTTTTCTAAAAAAGATGGAGAATGTATATATATGATAGGCGTATTAACCATATTTTAGAAAATATTTTTTTACCCGTCAAACATTGCATAAATATGAGAACTACTCTGAATGAATATTTAAATTTTAGTTCATTATATTATGAGAGACAAATCCCTCCTACAATATTGTCATTTTTTTACAAAAAATATTATTTAGAGAATATAAAACACATCAAATTTATTAAATACAGGTATCCCAATAATTCAACACAAGCCCAGCATATTTGCAACTAAATAATATTGTTATTGAATCATTTTCATAAGTAATCCAAAATAAGGCTCAACTCGAACAATTCACACATCACAGTTAGTTGAACCAACCCAAATCAATAAACAAAACAATATAAATATAAATCATTGATTACAAATCCAAAAGAAGGCAAGAAAGAAAGATCCTAGGCCATGGTAAAAATAAGCAAAAATATAATCTTTAGTCTTTATAATTTTATCGAGTTTTGTTTTTAATTTTTGTAATTTTTTAGTATTTTCAGTCTTTATAGTTTCAGAAAAATTGAGTGACCTTTATTTTTCAAATATTTATAATTTCAATTTTTCAGTGGTTTCACTGAAAAAAAAAACTAAAAGCAAATCAAATGAAACTATAAAGATAAGAGATCATGTTTTCCTTAAAAATAATAACATTGTTATAGAATATAGAATGCCTCCTCCTGTGGCTATTTATGATTTTGATTTTTGGGTTTTTTGAAATTTGATTTTCTTATTAATCCATCTTCCCGTTAATTCAAGTCAAATTAGAATTAATGCACCATTTTATCAAGTTGTTTGGAGAAAATGAGTTAGGGTGATTTTAGGGCAAACATGACAAGGGTAATCTTGGCTAAAAAATATCATTATCAAAGATAATTTTGTCCCCAAAATTTTCATCCTTGTCATGGATTTCCTCTCCCATAGGTTGCGGAAGAAGTGGGCATTTTCTTAAACCTTGTTTGGTTCAAAGAGAGGAGAAGGGAGGAAAGGGAATGAAAGATAAGGGAGAGGAGAAGAGGGAGGGGGAGGAGGAGGGAGCCCCTTCCCTGCAAGAGCAAGGAGGGCTCCCCTTTGCTTGTTTGGTAAGGTGAAGAAATTTTTCCTCCTCTCCCCCTCAACCACAACTAAACAAAGCCTCAAATATAGAATGTTTAATCCATCACCCTTGTTTTTCTCTTTGTTTCCTTCACTTAGAAATGTTTAACTTGGATCCGTCCTGATTGGCCTAGTATCATCCTAATCATATCGAGATGAGTCTTGTCCTGGCCCGAAAATAATCGGGATGGGACTTTACGAGGCAAAAAAGGAAAGGAGTTTGGAACAAGACGGGACACGAGATTACCATTAGGACGTTCTATCCCCTCCCGAATATATATATATTATTTTTTATTTTAAATATATTAATTATATTAATATAATTTATACTTATATTAATTATATCAATTATAATTTCAATACTTGCAATTCTTATTTAAAAGTAAAGTTTTTTTAATTGATAATTTTAATGATATGGAGTAAACATGGTGATATCTTTCTTTATAATTTATTAATTATATTAATATAATTTATTCTTATATCTATCTATTTAATAACTTTTATTTATAATGTATTTCTTGCTTTATTTTCAAAAGAGTAATTAGCTTAGTACATCTTCACTAAAGTAGAAGAACAATGATTTAATATTTGCTGACTTGCCTGTTGTTATTATTCTTATAGCATAAAGATCACTTGTATTTGTTATTATAATTTGTAGTTAGGATTAATATAATTTAATAATTAATTTTAAATTATTATAATTTATGTATATGTATTGTTTTGATTTTAAACTTAATAAATTATATAATTTAAAATTTTAATAAATGTTATTATCTAAATTTTTTTAATATTATTTTATTTATCAAAACGGTGGAATGTTTTAATTTTATCTTGATTCCGTCTCGACTTCTAACAAAATGGGATGGGAGAGAGATCAAAATTTAGTCTGTGAACGCTCCTACCTTCACCCGTTCCCATGCCCGTTCCTCCTCATTAACCAATGCCTAGTATCAAACGTGGCCTTGCGGGATCTCATTGCTCGCTCCTGAAAGGCTACTAAAAATCCGAAGGCCACATAAAGTTGGGGCTCGCTCAACGCAAAGTCTCTCGGAAATTGGCGCCTTCGCTTTTTAAATTAGCTCATTCCTACATTCTGTGACTAGCGTTGTCTTTGCCCGTTCGCTCTCAATCACAGGCGTGAAAAACCTGGTAGGAATCCTCAAGAAGGAAGGATGATACTGAGAACTCCACCTCCGAAGAGGTCGCGCGGCGAATCAAGGCCGCCGGAGAGCCCTCAGGTTGTGGCGGATGGCCAGCTCGTTATCTACGAGGATCCGCCGGTGCCGGAGTCATCGCAGGAGCCGTCCGTTTCCGGGCACATGCTTTGCACTTATCAGTGCCGTCAAATGGTTTGTCAGTTTTGGCTTTCAAGTGAAGTTTTATCGCAAAAAAAAGTTTTTTGATTTCATAGTTCGGTGGCAATTATTTATTTATTGCAGGTTAAAGTGGATTTTCTAGACGCCTTAAGCAAAGCTGAGACGCAGGCTCGTGAATATCAATCTAAGCTGGAGACTTTGAATGAGAATTTCGGCAAAGTTGGTTGGTAGATGTTTCTTGAAATGTCTTTCTATTTTAAACTTTTGTTGACTAAAGGTTTAGTAACACATCACTGAATATAGGGGGGGGAAAAAACAGAGAGAGAAAGACAGAATGCATTGCTGAATGTATGTTTTAATTTAAAATTTTCACTTGCTATGCCGATTGCTGCATACACCTTTTCCTTATTTCTTGGAATTCATTTTTCATATAATGTTATTGGTAGATCATTTCATACCTTCTCTTATTTGACTCAGTGTTAATTATTTCAGAGTCTGAGAGGAAGAAATATCTGGATCAGCTCTTATTTGTTGAACAGGAACTTGCTGCTGCAAAAGGGCGTGAACAGGCACTACAAGAGCAGCTTCTGAAGGAGGTCTCAGATTCGCAAGATAGATTGAGAAAGCAAATACAATTGAACGGTGAACTTCAGGTGTGTCCGGTCAAAAAAAAAAAAAAAAAAAAACTTCAGGTGTGCTTTACACACTCACACACGCAGAAACTCAATGAGATGGCAGCTGACAAATAAATTTTATTTCTTCGGCTCAATGAAGGATGGAGCCTGAAAAAAATGTGGGGGGGGGGGGGGAGGAATTATAATTTCTAAAGGCTTGAGGGGGCAAATAATAATTTTTGGGGGACAATACTAGATTACATGCCTACATACATACATACATCTACGGACTTTTCAAATGGGTGATTGCCCCCTTTTGTTAGTACGTAGCTCTGTCCCTGGTCTCAATGTATTCTCACAGCGAAGAGTGAGCTTAGCTGGATTACTTACATGTCTGTAAGTCCACCAAATGATGAATTAGATGTCAAATTATTTTATTTTCTCTTTTAAAATTTACTTCGAATATGAAGTGAAGTAGCGTTCTTTTTTTTTTTTTTGGCTTGGATTTGGAAACTCAAACATGTAACTTTCAAACTCAAGCTGAAGCCAAGCCCTCATACTGGATTTTTGGACTCAGTTTGGTTTCATCCTTCTTTTCTCTGATCCTGAGTCATCCTTGATATCTTTCTTCAAAGTTGAGTTCTGAAGTTGAATTTATTCCAAATTGATTTAGATTGCATTCTTCTTCTATGAACCCAGATTAAATGTTTTTCACATTGTACAAAATTCTTGGTCAATTAGAAGATGTAGATTCAATGAACTGTGATAGATTTTAATGATAGTTGATAATATATTGTCTTTGGGTTCTACGCAGCAAGGATTAGGAAAAGAATGAAATAGGTGGGGAAAGGGACATATAATAGTTAAGAAAAAAATATAGTTGGTGATAATCTAAATTTACCAATAAGGTTTATCATTCGACTTTAAGTTTTGAAGCAATATGGGTGCTTACAGCTGGGCATTACCTCAAACTGAATTAAATTTTGTGCTAATGCGTAAGGTTTTTTCTTGATTCTTACCATCCAACCTTGCTACTTCTCTGCTTGGGTTACGGTGATAATCCCCTTTTCAAATGGAATTTAGGTAAAGCTCCAAACTGAGACAAACCTTCGTATGAAAGCTGTGTCTCATGCGGCTTCAGCAGAAGAGAAAGCAACCTCTTTAGATGGGAAGCTAGGCCATCTATCGGAGAGCATAGAGAGGGAAAAAAAGCGTCTTCATGATGAGCATTCGCAACTGCAAAGTGACTCAAAGCTCTCTGTCTCTAGAATAACTGCAAATGTGAGTTGTTATTTGTTGTTTATTGTGAGGCTGAATTGGCCATTTACAGGTGTCAGCTGTAGCTCAATTTGCTTAACTTATTTGTTGTAGCTGGAACGAATGGAATGCAAAGCTAATAATGCTGAGAATGAAGCACAGCTGCTTAAAGACCAGCTGGCTCACCTTAGGAAGCAATTTGATGAGGTTTGGAAGTCTGTCTTATTGCATACTGGCTTTTATTGTCCGTTTAGTATTTTCTATAAACTATTTTTTGCTTTCTCAATGATGCTAAATATTCCTTTGTATTGAGCCCTGAAAACTAGCTGAAGGATTTTCTGGCCGATATTTATGTTGGCTTTTGTTCATGTATCTTGTATGAGGTAGGTGTCATATTTCTATTTCCAGTGGAGTTGTAATAGCACTACTTGATGGTTTATGTTCCAGTGTTTGCGCCAGAAGAGTGAAGCCGAGAAAAAGCTATCAACTTTGACTTTTCAAGAAGCCAATTCATCAAATAATGATTCTTTGATTAAACATCTGCAAGAGGAGCTTCGGAATTATGTATGTTGGTTCTCATTTTATGTGTCGTTTCCCTTTTCAATTGTGTTTATTGTGTTGCAAAGTTTTATAACTATAAATTGATGCATGGAACAATTACAATTGTAACTCAAACATGGATGATGGGAAAATTTTGTTGACATCGTTTGAATACCAAACAGAAAATACACTTGGTTGGCTTATTCTAGGCCCCACCCTTTCTTTTTGGATGTTTCTAAATTGGTGCCAATCTCACTTTTCCACTCAAATAGCATAGGAGCATCTCCTAATTACAAAAGAGTAAAATCAATTCCTAGCTGCTTAAGACACACCTAAAGTAGCTCTTTATAAGACTAGGAAATAAGGTCATGTTTGGTACATTAGAATTGGGTCCAAGAGAAATGGAATTGGAATTGGAATCATGCTTTCAATTGTTTGGTATGCATGAATCCAATTCCTTATGGATTCCAATTCTACCAAAATACCTAGAATTCAATTCCATCTCCATCATGATGGAATTGCCACAATTCCATGGAATTGTCATAAGTGCCCCACGTACACACTCCATCATGGTGGCTGAGTTTTTTATATTTTTTTATAAGGATATTTTGGTCTTTATCTATTTTAAATACATATATTTATTAATATTATATTCAGATTCCATCTTCATACCAAACATACATTTATAACTCAATTCTATTCTGATTCCAATTCCGATTCCGATTCCATCAAAAACTCTTCCATCATACCAAACGAGGCCAACAGTAATTAAAAAAATATTAATAAATAAAACATCCTTAAATCATTTAAAGAGGGTAAATGGAGTAATTAGTGGCTTAGGGGCTTAGTGGCTAGGGTAACATGGCTGCCTCTTTTCCATGATTCCTGCTTCCCTTGCTACCCACTTTTCCTCTCTGCTGTGACTGTTCCAAACCACCAAACTGATTGTGGTTCCCTTCCTTCACTTGTCAATGGCCCTACGCTTAGGTGATTACTGATATCTTATTGTACCACACGGGTACCAAATTTATTTCCCTAGCACACACACATATAAATAGGGAGCCTGGCCAAATAAGTGAATGCCTATCACTTGCTTCTCTCTATCACTTTCCTCTGTGGTAAGCTTAAGCCATTTTTTTGCTCTTATTTTAATTTCAATTTTGTGCCTTGGCATGCATTCTATAGCATATACTTGGCCCTCTGCTGGTCGTTGGTGAATCTAGTGCGTGTGGTTTATAACTAGAATATGGAGAGCACCAACAGAAGATTGGGTAGGGACTTGGTCCAATTGGGCTGGTTTGGACAGTGGAGTTCACAATACTATTCACGTATGAGTTGGGATAATTGTTACATTCACCCTTCAACTCAGAATTTGGTGTAGCTCTAAATTTTTTTTAACACAAGGCTATGGCGAACCATACAAAGGATTAGTTCTGGTGATTATGACCTTGTAAACTATCACCTTTATTCATATACAAAGCTCTCTGCATTGCAGATGAGGGTCAAGGAGTACAACAAAATCTCTCACAGAGGAGCGAGCATTGTTTGCCTGCTAGTTAGCATACTTATTAGCTTCCCTATAAACATTGCCCACCAATCACCTATGGTCGAGCACTGGTTCAATTCTGATCATTGCACTGAGACTGACTCTCTGGTCATGCAAAATATAGACATTAACTAGTCAACTGTTGGTTGTTTTGAAAGTTATGCAGTGGCAAAAACGTGATTTGGATTCCATGATGATGTGCAATGTACATGTGTACAGTTGGTTTACAAGGCTGGTGTTTCTCATTCATTTTATTTGAAGATGTTTTTTCCTGTGCTTGCTGCTTGGTGTTTTTTCTCTCTCTTCCATTTGCAAACTTATTTTCATTCCTGAGTTAATGAAGATGACGGATAATGAATAAACCTGTTTACTAAGCAAATACTATATCTCACTGGAATTTCTTTCACCTGTAATTATCTGAATCTTGAAACCTGAACCAGGCCCTGTTTATCTTGACATTTTAGGAATCTGAAGTAAGGGAAGCAAGAAAGCTAAAATCGTGTTTTGAGGACAATGAGCTTTTGAAAGAGAAGTTATTGGAGGAAAAAAACCGTAGAGAAAGGGCAGAGTCAGAACTATCTAAACTACAGGAAGTCCAGCTAAGTAAGGAGAAGTTAGAAAATCAATTGTCATCATGGAAACTGATGATTAAGGACATTCCTGGTGTCTCAAGTCTTGAGGATGTACCTCTGAAGTTTGCTGCTTTACAGAAGTACGATAGTAGCTATAGTTTCTTGTGTATATGACTGTATATTAATAGGTTACTTTCGGAGCTGTTGGAAACACAGTCAATACTATTGATTTTTTATTTATTTATAAAAACTTTATTTGGGGGTTACACATGCTAGTGGACAAACTCACTGCACAAATATGAATTTTGAAGGTCTGCTACAACTTTTGGTGCACCCTTGCTAAATCCTCTTACAATTAGGTCCTACTCAATGGGTGCCTCTTTAACTTTTTGTTTTTTAAATTATTGTAAACTATTGTTGTGAGAGGATGCACCAAACTTGCAGGCTTGCAGCAGACATTCAAAGTCCACAAACGTGCACACAATTCATGGTTTTTTCCTAAAGAAAATGGAAAATATAAGTATTCAAGGATGTGTTCCCTAAGACTTGTCTTTGTGTTTTTTTATAAGGTAATTTGCAGTGCCTACTGATAGACTCCCTCTATTTTCAAATATTAGAGAAAATAACCAATTTACACAGTTTAAAAAGTTGGTTAAGTATAATAATTATTTCTGAAATTAAAAAAATTTGGACTAAATTATCTATGTAATTAATAAAACAAATTTGTCTAGTGAAAATAAACATGGACTTTATGAAGGACAATTTAGAAAAAATATGTGATAAATACTTTTTGAAATTTGTAGTTTTGCTTATAAATAAAAACGAAGAGACACATGGTAGTTTTTCTTATATTTGAAAATGAAGGGAGTGTGCCAGTTTGAACGTGATGACTCTATGTTGGATGTCAGCAAGACTTGGGCAGGAGCTCTTTGTGACGAGATTAAATTCTAGATTTACATATTAAGCAAGCACATAGTTTTTATTGACTGATATTTTTATCAATGCAGAGAGATCATTGATAGCACAATGAAGGAGGGTGAAGGAAATGCCCGCTTGAAACAATTGGAGGTGGCACTGGATGCTGCGGAGATTGGTAAGCAAAATGCTGAAACTGAGGCTGCGTTGGCCAAAGAGAAGGCAGAATCATTGAAATCAGAGATTAAACAGATTGAATTAACGGTCAGTTTTTCATTGGAAAGTTGGTATTGCATTACAATAAATGCTTGAGTCTTTTTTTTCCTGCATAAATAATGATACTTCTTTTCATTAGTCTACATGGTTGCCATCAATATTTTGTTATATATGTCAGCAAATTTTAGCAGTGTTGCCTCTTTTTTAAACAGTAAGTACCAAATTGATAATTGATGCAAACTAAAGAGATTAAATTGATAAAAATTAAACTTGAGAGACTAAATCGATAAATGAGACAAGCTTGAAGGACTAAAAGTTTCACTATCCCTAGCATAAAAGAACTAATTTACTATGTATTTAGAATTAACATACCAATTAACTAGAGTGAAATTTCATCATAAGACAAAATTCCAAGCAAAAGACTTCATGGCTTGTCAAAAGTTAAAACTTCCAAACTCCCTTGCTTATTGATCTCTCTTAAGGTGCACAATTTATTTTCCAGTTGCAACCCAAACCAGAAAATCATTAAATCAATAAAACGACCTTGTAAAAAACTATAGAACCTGATAAAACTCTTTGGCAACCTTGGTCTTTTGGCCTTTTTCTAAGATGTAACTTTATATATCAGTACAAGGTGATGCGAGCTTGGATTTTGGATATTTGGGAACATAACGAATGTGTGATTTTGAAGTAAAAATTAAACTGATATAGGATGCAAAGAAAATTAAAAATTTTCTGAATATCTCGGAAGTGTAACCTTAATTTGACTGAAGTTCTGATTACATGCAACTGAAGTGAGAACTTGTTATCTTAATTAGGCTCAAATTTCTTTATTGATAACTCTTAAGCAAATCTTAAATTACTGTAATTATTTAATACTTAATTATGGAATCTATATGTTCCAAACCAAACAATAATTGCACCAATAAATAATAATTCTTTGATATTATCCTGCATCATAAACCTATGAAATGAAGCATCTAGTTATTAAAGGGATTAGTGTACTTTATGGCCTCTGGTCTCTTAATTTAATGAACAGAACAAGTCAAGATGGTTCAACCAACTTCTGCTACTGCAATGAAGCAATGGGTTTAAGAATTATGTGAGGGCTATAATACTGTTTCCCCTTTCTTGAATGTTAAGTATGTTGCTGTTGTGCTTGGACTTGGTTGTCACCAGGCATCACAATTTTGAAAAGCAGACTGGACTAGCTAGTTTGACTAGAAAATTAGTGAACCAGTGGTTGGTTTGGCTCAGAATATAATGGTGCATTGACAAAAATGAAAACCGGTCAAAAACTAGTGAAAACTAAATAAATTGGTAGTTCAACTGGTTTGTTCAATTTAAAACTAAGATCATTTTGTTTTTTGAAAAATCTGAGAGCATTTCAGATGAGAAGAATCAAAGGTCATAGAATCTGGAGAAGAAAATAAGAATCATAAAAAGTCAGAGAAGAAGAATGTAGGGAAAACATAACTCTGGGTCCTTGCACTTTTCTTGAGTTTTGTTATAGGTCCCTGCACTTTTTTTTTTTTTTAGTGTTCCAAGTCCTTATACTTTTTTTTTTGGTCTGTACCTTAGGTCCCTCCACGAGTAGTATTATGGGGACTTAAGGTGTAGTGCCTGTTTGGATAGTTGCTATAATTGATTATTTGTATGGAAAATCATGTTTTGATTAAAATTATCCAAACACTCATATTTTTATATAATCGATTATTTGCCTCAAATAGTGTTTTGCTTTAAGCTGACCTCCTTAGCTTTTCAATTTCAATTATGGCTGTTGAAGCATTTATTATTTGTCAGCATTTCCAAATGTAGGCATTCATGCTCTATTGCATTGGCATTTTGCACAAGTAGTACCCAATATACCCTTGGCATTTCTTGGCTCATAATTTATGACATTGCGAGGCTTCAGAGCATCTTCTTAGCATTCAAATATATCCCATGCATTCATTTTGTTAAATAATTTAATAAATATTAAATATATCACTATTATATTTTTTTGTTCAATAAATCAAAATTTAATTTAATAATATGAAAAAAATTAATCATTTGTTATATATAATTGAGTTATAACTATAAGGAGTGAGTTATAATAAGTTAAAGTTCAATGATTGAATTATAGCCAAGTCAAAATTTGAGGAATCAAATGATTAATTATCTCATATACTGCATGCAATTTTATCAATATTTACCCTAAAATTCATGTCTTTTATTGTAATTTGTACATTTAAAATTGATTTTTATTAAAATTATCCAAACATTTTCAATTTTATCAAAATCAATCTCAAAAAATATCATCCAAACGCCATCACATTATAACATAATCAATTATTGTAAAAATCTATTCTATTAATCACTTTTTTTCATAATCAATTATACTCAACTGAAATACAAACGGGTTCGTAGATGGAGAAAAGTGTAGGGACCTGAAATATTAAAGAAAAAGTGTAGGGGCCTATAGCAAAACTTGAGCAAAGTGCAGGGACCTAAAATTGTGTTTTCCCAAGAATATATCATATTAGCTATGACCATAGATTTCTAAACTCACTGATAGGGTGTGGCATACGCTACGATGTTTCCTTTTGTTTGAACATTAGAATGACTGATGAGAAAAGAATGATAGATTTGAGAAGATGGTGGAAGAAGGATGAAGAAAGAAAGAAATTTTGCAGCCCATAGAGGAATAGATTAAAATAGAAATTTTAATTTTTGTACTAAATTAATGTTTCATTAGTTGTAATTTTTTTATTAGAATTTTGTTCTGATATTTCATATAAAATAATTAACTGTATTACTATTAGTATTTATTTGTCATCTTAAAAATTTGGCATATGAAATTATAGAAGTATATGTATCTATTTGTTTGATGTTCGGTTCGACCATTGTTAGACTAATAAACCATGAACCAGTGCTCTTACATGTTCAATGACCGGCATGGTTTTCACTTTTCATAACATTTCCTGTCATTAATATTGTTGAAAGTTTTGACTCTGTTAAATTAGTTCTAGCTTCTGTTTGAGGATGATACTTGTGATGATGTTTCTGGGATTGTTATTCATGCGGTATGTTATGGAAAGCGTTTGTTATTGGGACACATATGGTAAAATGGTAGATATGTGTTGGTTGGTGGGTATTTTGTTTTTCATTTTTGGGTGTAGGTGTTTTGACATCTATAGTCTATTGTGAGTCAACTGTTTCAGTTGTGTGCTTTTATATAGTATTTATTGTGAACTGCAGCTTGCTATTGTTACTGAGGAAAGAGACAAATTAAGAAATGCCACCAGTTTGAAGAGTGACAAAGCTGGGGATGTGCTGGCAAGTTCTAATCTTGTTCAGGTTGCATTTCATCCCTTTTTGGGTATCATTCTCAATGTTTCTTTGTTTGCCATTGGATTGATCGGTTTTTGCACGCAGGATCTTGAATCTTCTCTTGCAAAAAGAGATGGCTGTATAAAGGAACTAGAAAGTACCTTATTAGAACAGAGAGCTGTTAATAATCGACAGCATGAGGAAATAAAGCTACTTAACGAGAAGTTAAATAGCGAAGCTAGAAGAATAAAGTCATTGGAGAGGGAGAGCGATAGGCTTCGTTCAGAGATTGCTCTATTGGAGGCAAAGGTAGGTGTGGGATACACTTTGGCAGATACATGGATTTATTTGTCATTGAACATTTTTTTCATGTGTGTGGAATATATATTTAAGGTTATTTTAGTTTTTTAATGATCATATCCCGTATATGTCTTTTTATTTTCTTTTATCATTACTGAACCATCAATGGAGTGATGCAAATGCTTTTTTTTATGACCAAACTGGTTCTTCATTGGAGGTTGCAGAATTAATTGAGAATTTATGCTGCTACTGACAGGGGTAGAGAGAATAGTTTAATCATATATATGACAGATAGACTTGGAAAGGGGAAATTTTTGGGTATGTCTCACCTAGTTTGCAAGATGAAGCTTATGTCTTTGTGGAGTATGGGGAAATGCTGAACAATAATGATTTTCTTACTTATCAATGCTTCCCATAAAGTACTGAAACCCGCTATTTTTGTTTTTGCTGGATAGCTGTTACACAGTTCATCTTATAAAGCTGTCCAGCTTTTAGTATTCATCCTACTATTTAACGATTTGCATTTTGCTTTTCCTTCTATAGTTGGGCCATGGTGATTATTCTGCTGCAAATACAAAAGTTCTTCGAATGGTGAATACTCTTTCTGTAGAAAATGAGGCCAAACAAACCATAGAAGCATTACAAACTGAGCTGCAAAAAACAAAAGAGAAGTTAAAAGCTGTTGAAGAATTGAAGAATCAATCAGGTAATGAACCTTGTTAATGACGGGCAGTGAAATAAAGATTTTTTTTTTGGGGAGAAATACAAATGAAATTAACTATTTCCTAAGTCCCATTTACCTGTCAAACTTATCTATTTACAAGTGGCTAAGACGTGTGGGTAATTTTTTTATTTTTATTTGGAACTTGTATGTAATTCTCCCTTTTTTGGGGACAAAGAGTGAATATAAAGATTTAATTATGTTTGAAAGAGATTTGTTATGTTAGCCAGTATTTGATGGGGGATGTTTTGTCATTTTCTATTGTTGCTCTGCTTGCATGCACGCACATTGAGTGTCTAGCTCTTTTCATTTGTTCCTTTTGAACATCTGGCTTGAGTATGAAACAGATTCTGGTTGTATATGAGATATTGAAGAGATTATGAAAAGTGAAAATGACAATTAGGGACTCCAAAAGAACATTAATGACAATTACAAACCCTGAATTATTAAAATCTCAATAATAGACTATTGTCCTTACTTGCAATTAAAAAAAAAGTGAATAGTTTGTTGAGAAATTAACAAAATATACTTGGGGTTATTTGTAATGTTAGTTGGGAATTTAATAAATTCAGTTGTGAATCTCAATTTTTTGTTGTCAATATACATATAAACCACTTTGGAAATCTAGAAAATATATTTGGAATTATTTATAATATTAGTTGGGAACTTATGAGAGTTAGTTGTGAATCGTAAGCTAATCGCTTGTGATTTTTTTGTTGTCAATATGTAGATAAATTGCTTGGGAAATCTACAACATGCACTTGGAATTATTTGTAACGTCAGTTGATAATTTATGAGAGTTAGTTGTGAATTACAAGTCAAATGCTTGTGATTTTTTGCTATTGCTTGGAAAATCAACAAAAATACTTGAGAATCTTTGTAATGCTAATTTGAAATTTACAAAAGTCCGTTGTGAATCTCAAGCCAACTAACAAAAATAATTTATTGTAAGCAAGGACTGAGGACTATGGTCTGTTATTGGCATTTCAATAATGCAGGATTTGTAATTGTCATTAATGTTCTTATGGGGTCTCTAATTGTCTTTATGGGGTCTCTAATTGTCATTTTCCCTTATAAAAATGCTGTAGTGTTTATGTTATTGAGCTACTTGAAAATGTAGGGTACAATCTAATAAATTAATAAGTCAATTCACAATGACCATGTATGGAAATCAAACTCACATAAAAAAGGCACTCATAAGAACATAATCATCTTTAAACCACAACATCAAGTACTTAAATTATATAAAAAAGTGTTTAAGTTTTGAGTCTATAGTTTTATAGCAAGATATCTACATTAAAGAAGCTTAGCACTGAAATCTCATTTTCACGTTAAATGATGATCTTATTTGAACAGCAGAGGGGATAAATATGGGGACATTGGTCACACAAGTACCAGAGAACTTCTATGATACACATGGAAATCATGCGATATAAACTGAATGTTTCTTTGTTTAAATCATAGGAGTCCTAAACTCATCTAGCACCCTCCCTCGAGCTGGGAAGTAGATGTAAATCATTTTCAATTTGAATTTAGTTTCTTCTAAGTTTACTTTGGCCAAAGTCTGTGCAAGAACTTGAGCAACTTGGGTCTTTGTAGTGGCATAGGCAAATTCAGTATCCTAAATCCACCTTTTCCTTGATGAAGTGATGATTTGATTTACCCATTGCTTTATTCAATCATGTTGAACTAGATTCTTCGGCATTCTTAGTGGTCTAGCATCATTGAATTAATTAGCCAAGTCATCACCGTGTGACTCTAGGCACGATTCCTAGTACGTAGGAGGAGCCCTGCTAAGAAGAGTACTGTGAAGATGGGATAATTAAAACAAAGAAAAATAAACCTATGTTTACTAGTGAAATGAAATTTCCTGTTTATTTCAGTGGTGTGGCTTCTTGATCCTTTTAGTGAGACTTCATCTGTGATGAGAGTTTTCTAAATGAAATGAGTGTTTCAAATGTCCTATGGGGTTGTATCATGAGCTTGTCAACAGTGTAGTGATAATTTTTGAATATATTAATATTTGCCTCATAATTATTTACTGTTCAGGTGAAGCTGGAAGATTTGTAGATAACTACATATCAGATAAGCTAACACAATTGAAAGAACAGATTGCTACTCTTGAGAAAAGAGAAGAAAGGTTGGTGATTTATAAGTTGCTAGTTGCTCCTTTATGGGGTTGTAGATACTAAAATTCAAAATGATTCTGGAATAACTGAAATGCTGGATTATCAACAGATACAAAACAGTGTTTGCAGACAGAATTTCAGTTTTCAGGAGGGCATGCTGTGAACTTTTTGGTTACAAGGTCTATGATTTAATGTTGTTTAATTTGCTTTAGCAGATAACTAATCCCTCTACCTAGTTTTATTTGTCTTTCTTTCTAATTAGGTTTCTTCCATTAAAAAAATGTTGGCAGATTGTGATGGACGAACACCAGCGGTCAAATGGAATCCCGGTGACTCGATTTACCCTGCAATCAATTTATGCTCAAAGTGATGAAGAGAAACTTGAATTTGAATACGAGTCAGGGAATACCAACATTTTGGTAAGTCATTTAATTCTGATTGAGTTCATAATTATAGCGTTGGAATTGTATCCTTGGGAATTTTCTGTGGTATGACTTATTAAATTTTATGTGATTTCAGTAATTATAAAAAAGCATAGATTGATTTTCAAAGATCCAGTGGTGATTCAATAATATCTTTTGAATCCTTTCAAATGTGTAGCATGACTTTTATTTTTTTCCGTCAATGTAACAGGCAAACGATTACACATCACAGCCTGATATATCCCGTCAGGTAAGGAGGTTCTAGTATTTTTGTCACTTTTATTTCATGTACATCCTTTGAAGGTGGAAGATCTCGGACAGTCATTTCTTTAATCTTGTACAGAAATAAGATCAGGTTCCTTTTTTATTTTGTTTCTTTTGTACATGAGTAGGTTTGGTTCAGTCTTAGTAGTTACTTCTTGGTTTTATATTTCAACCAAGTACTAAAAATCAAGCCAGTCATTAAATCAGTTAAGTTATTGGTTCAAGTGTTAATGGTCAAAGCTATAGTCTAACTATGATCAAACTGGTCATAAATGAAGTATTTTATTAAACTGGCGAAGATATTGGTTTAATAGTTTATTGATTCAATCAGGCAAGTTGACCTAAATTTTCATATTATGATTTCAGCGGTATAACTTTGCCAAACAGGAAGAAACAAAGTCAGGATTTATTAGGTCCTGACAGTTAGTTTGATGGCTCTTGATAATGTATCTCGCCTTGTCTCAGTTTTAATTTCTTGTGACTGTTTAATGTCTTTGGAGATTTTTTATTTCTATTTTATTCTCATTATAAATAATCCCTGTTTTTAACGGTTGACACTTGAAAGATTATTAGGACCTGTGGCTCTGACCGTCCTTGAATATATGATTTACAATCATCCTAAAATCTAAACATGATTTTTTTTTTTAATTTTTTTTTAATTTTTAATTTTCCCCGCAACAGACCCACCCGTCGTAGATGGAAAAAGAAGACTTGATTCAGAGAAAGAAATATCGCCATGCATGCAATTTTGACTATTTTTCTGTTTCTTTTCTTGAATCATAATTAGTGACTTGCCCATTCCCAGGTTGAGATATTTGTTCGGAAGATGAACTCAATTCCTGCTTTCACTGCCAACTTAACGGTGGAATCATTCAATAGAAGAACTTTGTCTTAGATGCAATGAACTTTACAGTCTACTGTCCTTATAATATAAAATTTCTATAGCCAATTATTTTGTATCCTTGACTTCTGGATTTTGGTGAACTAGTATAGCGATTCAGCCATTGAGAGGACCCAATTTTATTTGGATTGGGAATTGGTGCGTGATGGAGATATTGGTTGTTTTTCTGCCATAATTTGTAAATATGATACAAGTTTGTGTTGGCAAAAAGGGGGGGAAAAAGCTACTAGTTTGTGATTTTCGAGCTTTTCAGAAGCAAGGAGTAATTTGGAGCAATTCGTGCTGAATATTAGCAAAAGGGTATTTCACCATCACGGGGACATGCTCATTTCTTCGACCTCAATATTTACATAATTTTTTTCTTAGTGGCTGCGGTGATAGCGTAATAATTTACATCCATTGTCATGATGCGGGGAAATATCCTCCCCCCCCCCCCCCAAAAAAATAATTTTTATAATTCTTCGTCCAATGAGAGACTTGTGGAGGATAATCAAGGAGGTGATAATATATGGGGAAGGATTTGGAAATTAAAGGTGCCTCAACGCTATAGATCATCATTTCTGTGGCTTGCTTATAAGCAAAGCCTTCTGACCAACTCTTGTCCAAAACGCCGTGGCTTATGTTCGGAGGATACGTGCATGCACGACTTGTAATCATGTGAGTGAAGATATTCTTCATGTCCTACGAGACTCTGCGAGGACGCAACAGATGTGGAAGAATATCAATACGGTCTATGTACAGAATGGAGGAGGGAGACAGCCTTGCTGCAGAATTTGGTTGTTCTACATGGTTGGGACCATGGTCATAGGAAAGTGGTTCTTGAATCTGACTCCACTACTGATGCGGTTTCCCTAATCACTGAGGCTATCAATGCGGAACACCATGGCAATGATGCGGTGATGGAGACTAGATGTTGGAATATTTGTAAATATTTATGAATTTGCATTAATTAATAAGTCCAAATAAATTGATTTTTATCATCTTGTATGAATTGTGATAGATGGATCATATGAGTGAGTTCAATAGATAGAGGCCCAACGTGTAACCCTGTAGCTGTCAGTTATTCTTTATCTTTTAACTAATTGAATCAAGGATAATTTGAGATAATTAATTAATTAATTAAAAAGTGGTTACTTATTTGGTTTATATAAGTCAATCAATCGATTACCAAAACATGATATACTTTTCATTATCTCTGAACTCTCTGTTAAACTACAGTGGTTTAGTAGATTGTGAATTTATTTATATTTGAGGTAATTGAGGTCACATTCTGTCATGAATTTTTTATGTATGCATGTTAGTTTATTTGAATCTTATTTATATTGAGATACTTATGATAACATTCGAAGCATGTTGTCTAGGGATGGGGAGGTCCATACGCGGCACGTGAAGGGAGAACATAATTATGCGGCGGGATTGTCTTTGCAAATGGTTTCCATGCAGTACTTAATACGCCGTCTGATCTTGCGGTGCTTGTGGATAAGGATTGTGGCTTCATGCACAACTGTTTGACCAGGATGTAATGTGCTGGTTGCTTTGTTTATCAAATAATAACCAGGATGTAATGTGCTGGTTGCTTTGTTTATCAAATAATAATAATAATAATAATAATAATAAATAAATAAATAATAAAATGAGAATGGTTTCTCTAATCTTCTATTTCATTCTTTCAATACTAATGAGATGCTTGCCTTATGTATAGGCAAAGATTTATAACTTAAAGGTCTCAACCATATTAATAATGAAATAATGAATCATAAAGAGAACATTAATTTTAGGGGAAGATAAATTTCAAGAATCCATGAATTTACTTTGAGGAATGTGAAGTAATTAACATAGGGGAGATGAACGTTCATCTCGTAATCTCATTATGACATTGAATCATGGACATCCATACAATATTTATATTCATAAATCAAGAATAATATTGTATTTACTTGAATTTTTTTTAGCAAAAACATTGATTGCACAAGATATTTCTTTTAGGTAAATTAGTTTCTAAACATAAATGTTTAGATTTAGATCCCATACATCCATAAGCCTGAAAAATAAATGGAAATATTGGCACTGTTCAAGATTTTTTATATTTGAATTTGTTTCCTTGATGCTTGATTTTTTTTTTTAAAAGCTGATTTGTCAATAATTGTTGTGCATTTTGAAATTGATTAATGGAACATGAATTTCATGTCAAGGGATGTTTTTCTTGATTTTCCATTGATGAAATCTGCTAGTATACATTTCATGAGAATTATTTTGATTGATTTGATATTTGAATTGTGAATTTGACTTGAACTTGATTTTGACTATTGTTGATTAATTGAGAGTTTTGAGGGAAGACTTTGCTAAGTTTTTATTAGAATTAAAAGCTTTTGTTGAAAATTTATGATTATTGTAGAATTAGTCATGATTTATTAGACTTTTGAATTGGTACTTGAAACCGAATCGGATTAGTTATTGAAATAGTTAAGATACTGATTCAAGAATTAATGATTAAAACCATAATAAATTAATCACTTTATTAAAGTAGTCAAGATATTGATTTAATGTTTTAATTGTTCAACTAAGCATGTTGACTTAAATTTTCATATTATGCTTTTAGTTGATTTTTGATTTAAATGGTGAATTGCTCTTATTTTTTTTTTGGTTGAGTTTATATTGAACTTAAATTTGGCTATTGTTGAATAATTGGGAGGTTGCACTAATTGGATATTCATACAGTATTTAAATTCATAAATAAAAAGGAATAATATTTGATTACTTTAAAAGATTTTTTTTGGCTAAAGAGCATAAACATTAATTGCATAAGATATTTCCTTTAAGTACAATTAATTCTAGACATAAATATTTACTAATTATTTAATCAAATTAGATTTAGATCCCATACATCCATATATAAAGTTCGAAAAAAAAATTGAAATATGGCATTGTTAAAGAATTTTTAATATGTTTGTTTTTGGAATGCACCAATTGGTTTCTGTAAGCAATTTTAAACTTTAACTAATTTACATCAAATTGGGTCAAACCACATTGATGTAAAATTCATACAGTGTCAATTTTTTTCACACACAACACTCAAATTTGAGATATTATTTAAGGAGAATAACTTTGGAACCTTCATTCTACACTCTAGCTCTAAGCATTAGAAATGAAAATATATATAACACTTTTTTACATATATTTATTTGACTTAATCATATTCAAACATTGTTGTGCTTAATTAGAAGTAATTCTTCTAAGGCATCTAACACACATTTAATGTGAATTTTGCATTTGAGAGAAGGTGAATCCCCTTTTACATTGTTTTGTATATGCATTAAAAATTAAACAAAACTAAATTTCCACAAATTAAGAAATATAATTAAAAGTAAATCTCTCTTCTCATTTTACTCATTCCTGTGTTTATTATCAGAGAAACAAAACAAGCTTAAGAGAAAGGAAGAAAGAAACAGAGAGAAAATAGTTAGGTTTAGAGAGAGAAAATGGAGGTGAGGAGAGAGAATCCAAAATAGAAACGAATCAGAGAGCTGTGTTGATTGGAGAGGAAGACCTTCTAATTCCAACAAGCATGGTGGAATCAGAGCTGCTTCTTTTGTTCTTGGTATCACTCTCTATCCATCTCTCTTCTATTCTTTTTTTTCCCCCTATTTTCTTTTCTTTTTTTTTTCTTCGGTTACGATATCCCCACAACCGGCACTATTTTTAAAAAAATTGTATTAGATTGTTAATTGTTGGATTTATTTCAAGTTTTTTTTTTTAATATTAGAGATGTTTCCAAGAAGAACTATACTCAAGGAACCATTGAAATAGGAAGAACAATATTCTAGGAAGAATGAACGCTTATAAATTAGAATATGAGCTAGTCATTGTTGTCCATGGACAAATTGGTACAAGATTGTATTTGCTCATGGTGATTAAGGTTGCACAAGCTGAAACCTGCTCGTCGGCACATGTTCGGATTTACTCATAGGTAAAATAAAGACAAGTTAAGACTTTGCTTAAGGAAAGGAAGCGAAGCACTAAGGTAGAGTCGGTTTTATTTCCAACTAACCTCGAATAAAACTTTAGTCAAACTCCAGAAATACAAACATTTTTTAACATTAAAACAACGGTTGTTATATTTTTTTTTTGATTTGAACATTAATAGTCTCAAAATATTATTATGTCACTCAAAAGTTTAGGATATTAATTGCTTATTAAAAAAAATTTTGAGATAAAAATGCCCTTTAATTCTGGTAAGAATTCTTCAACTAATAATCAACGTTGGTTAAACTTATTATAGGACAACATGACACCCTTTTTTTAAAACTTCAAGAATAATATTGTGCCAATATAAAGTTTATATTAGTTCAAATTTTTTAGGGCTTTTTTTTATAAAGTTTAGGTGAGTTAGGTATTAGGGGCTCATTAGAAATAGTGCATGCCTTGAAGTTCAAACTGTGCTTATAAAAATACTTATAGATTACCTATCAACAAGATTCTTATATTGACAGTGAAATTTGAACCCATAACCTTGTGAGTTATTAATCAAATTCTTACTAATTGAATTAATTTTTTATTGGTAATTTCTTTTTGGTCCAACCATGGTTAAACTAATTGTATTTTCTTCCAAAGTTTTATATATATAAATAAAAAAAATGATTCTTATGAACTTTGGAGCATTTTACTTTTTATTTTTATATCAACTCATTCATTTTGATCATTTTGGTTAATTACTAAAATATTGAAGAATGAAAATGATGACAGGGTTTCAAGCGTTTGAAATAACAGCAGCAGCAGGAGTGGCAAACAACCTAATAACGTATCTGATAAACGACATGCATTTCTCTCTGCCAAAATCAGCCAACGTTGTAACTAACTTCATTGGAACTATCCTTCTCTTAGCTCTTCTTGGCGGCTACCTCGCTGACTCTTTTCTTGGATGCTTTCGAGCCCTTCTCATGTTTGGCTTTCTTGAGCTCTTTGTAAGTAAGCCATTCTTCTCTTAACTAATTAGGTTATCATATTATCAATGACTTAAAAATAGTTTGCTTTATATGTGTGTGTTCGCGCGGATGTGTGTTTTAATAAGTTAAAATGCAATTTTACTACAAAACTATAAGCTCAAGGATGTCTAAGGAGCTAAATTCGTTTTTGGTGTGATGTTTTTCTCTAAATTTTAAAAACAGTATAATGTTGCTCTTATTTTTAATAAAAGTTAATTTTAACTATTAGTTAATTAGAAAAGTGCAAAAAGGATGAAAATGACAAAATTACAGACAATAACTCAAAAATTATAAAAAATGATCAAAAACCAAGATAATTTTCTCGATCTTTTTTCATAATTTTGTGGTTACCTAATGGTTAAAATTAACACTTGTTAGCTATAGGAGTAATTGTAACATTTTTAAAAATTGAAGAAAACATTACATCAAAAGTGAGTTTAAGTTTCTATACGCTTCTAAACTTATAATTTAGGGATAAATTTGTCATTTAGCCCTATGTTTATTTAAGTGATTGATTAAATAGACACATTTTTTATGTATTAATTCGTAAAATTGGAAGCGAATTGCGCTGTACATATGGCTTAGAAATAATGAGATGAGCACACACAGAAATTTCACAGTTTATAATATTGATTCTTAGAGATAATATTACAAATCACCCCCTCCACAAGGAAATCCTAGAGGCTAGAAGATTAATTCAAAGAAATTGGACTATTCGTATTAGTCATTTATAAAGGCAAATGAATGTCCTAATATATTAGTAAGAGCTTCTTATGATTTATATTATCCTTTTTGGACTTTTGATCATCCTCCACTTTATTGTAAGGTGGTGAATGATAAAATGGTGTCTGTAATGTTTGACCTATTGTATTGTACTTCTTGTATTTTTGTGGTTGGTTGATTAATATAGGGTGAACGGGTAAAAATACTCAAAAAGTCATTAGTCAGGAACATCTAGTAATCTGAAGTGAGGAAATACGCATGAGTGTTTATGAAGTTATTTTTTTAATGTCTCTATGATTAATCTGTTAAATTTCATATTCAAAACATGACCAT